TTATTTTTTATTTTAAGCTTTATTTTTTTATGTTTTTAAAAGTATTTTATTATTGAAGCTTTTTTTTTTTTTTCTGTCTCATTTTTTGAATTCAGTTTTGGTGTTGTTTTCCTTTGTTTTTCCAGTATTTAGCTGAAATGCATTTCAGTGACTTTATGTATTGCTTAAACGTTGTTGTTGTTGTGAAGAAGGTATAAAGTCTTTTATATATACTTTGTTATTTCTGCTATTCTTTCCAACAGGCCTTTCCTTCTAGGTAAATTCTAGTCACTGGTGACATGGATATATTCAAGGTTCTGGTTGTTATTTCATGTTTAATTTAAACCCATGTGACATTTGAAAAATTCCTTCAGTATAACTCGTATTTTGACTGAAACTTTTTCACCTTACACAAATGTATTGCTATTTGTTTGATAGTCATTGATTTAAAGGCACCGAATCAGTTTATATTGACAGTGTTGGTGAGAGGGTTCAGCTAGCCCAGTGGACCGAGAGCGATCACATTACCAGCTTTTAAAATTATTTGTTCAAATCATTCATTCACTCTGTCCATGTTAATTGAACACCCAGTAAGAGGACTTCCCTGGAGATCCAGAGGTTAAGACTTTATGCTTCCCGCATGCCACATGGCGAGGCCGAAAAATGAAATCACCCACGGAGTGACAAGGCCTGCTCTAAACCCGGGGACGCTGTTGTGAGCAAGACCAACACGGACACCGTTCTTGCTGATGCTCACTTTGTAGTGGGAGGGAAGCTCGCAGTGAATAGACATGGAAGATAACATGAACAGAGTAAATGAGCGAGGAAAGTCTGGGAGAGGGCATCAGAAGAAGCCAGCATGAGGAGCGGACACTTGAGCTGAAACCTAAGCGGCAGGAAAGAACCAGGCTTGCTAAGCTTGGAGACACAGTCCAGACACAGGGAGAGCAAGCGCAAAGGCCCCGGGGTGGAAACTAGCTCAGTATCTTCAAGAAACACGAAGAAAGCCAAAGAGCAGAGAGTCGAAGACTTTGGCAAGGCCCAGCCCACGCAGGGCTCGGATTTTGTGCTGTTCGGGACAGGAACTCTTGGGAAGATTTTAGACAGTGCAGTGTCTTCACTGCGTTCTTGTTACGGGAAGCATCTCTGACCACAGGTGGGAAATGGTTCAGAACAAAGCAAGAAAGAATGTCGGAGGTTCAGCAGGCCAGTGGCTTAGACACGGTGTGATGATGGGGCGGGAGAAGTGATGGTGTGGACGGACTCGGGACGCAGGTTGAGGTAAAGCGGACAGATTTGCTGAAAGGGGCTGTCGGAAAAAAGATGAGACAAACACAGTTTGGGTTTTTGGCTTGAGCCACTGAGAGCCATTGTTGAGAAGGAAGGGAAACCTGCATCCCTGGGAGCAGGGCTTGCAGCGCGCCTGAGATGCTCCTGGAACAGGTAGATACAGATGCCGGGACTGGTCCTGAGATGCTGCCTTGGGGACCCTCTGACGTTCTGTAGCTACAACATCCCCTGCAGACAAGAAGCCGAGTTCTTCCCAGAGACCCGGATTCTTGACACCCTCATGCAGTCGGCCTCAGAGTTTAGCAGGCAAGACGCTCTTTGATTTGCAACTTTAACCCTTCATCCTGACGACTGTCACCACCCTATCAGTGAAATCAAGACAGGAGGGCAGCCTTGGCTTGGTTCTAATCTCTTACTGAGTTACAGCTTGTTGAGGTGCACCAGTATTCTCTCCTTAAGGGATCCAAATGTATTTCAGTAATTAAGATAGGAGTCTGGGTAAGACTGAACCCCTCTGCCAACAGAAACTGACCAGGTTGCAAATTCGATCGGAGTGGCATCTCAGGGAAATGAATGGCTGAAGACATCCGGTGCTTGGCCAACGTGACTCACCCTTCTGAGAAGGCAGAAGGGAACTTTGGACCATCAAACCTTTAAAATTGTCAGAAGAATTTGATCCCAAAGCTTGAGTCACCTCCTTGACATGGACCAACCTTTGTTTTCCTCCACAGCCTTTTCTTTTTTATGAGGAGAAAATTGCTTGGTATTTTAAATATTCTACCGAAGCTTTATCTCCAATCCTCATTACCTTTGTTGCTTTTCTAAGAACTTTCACTTTCTTTTCTATAGTAACAGAGATAATCCAAGCTCCAGTCTCTCCAACGCTTCTCTCCCCACGGTGCAGACCAGGTTTGGATTATAAAACAAATCCAGAGTTTTATGTACAAAATTATAGATGGGCATGGATATTCCAGGGGCTTCCCAGGTGGCACCAGTGGTGAAGAACCCACCTGCCAAGGCAAGAGATGTAAGATGTGGGTTTGATCCCTGTGTAGGGAAGATCCCTTGGAGGAGGGCATGGCAACCCACTCCAGTATTCTTGCTGGACAATCCCATGGACAGAGGAGCCTGGCCGGCTACAGTCTGTAGGGTTGCAAAGAGTTGGACGTGAGTATGCCTGACATACCAGGATCATACCCTGCCTACAGCGACGAGGGTTTCATGTATTATAATTCTTACATCTCCTGATACTCTAAAAGGACTTCATATCCCACTGCTTGTACCTTGCATACTTTACTTCTTGACATTGAAAAACACCTTGGTATTTATTTCGTCTAGTATCTCTGCAGTTGGGAAGTTTTCTGAAGCTTAAGCTCATTCATTTCAGGTAAAAGTGACTCTGGTTTCTATTCCGGTAAGGAATTTCCTGCATAGGATGTCACTGGGATAGGAAGGAGGTGGGGATAAAGCTAAAAATCTACACGGTGGTCAAACAGGATTTACGTGTAGACCACCCACATTGAATCAACTCTGAATATCCATTGGAAGGACTAATGCTGAAGCTCCAATCCTTTGGCCACCTGATTCGAAGAGCTGACTCATTGGAAAAGACCCTGATGCTTTGAAAGGTTGAGGGCAGGAGGAGAAGGGGACGACAGAGGATGAAGTGGTTGGATGGGAAAGGTTGAGGGCGGGAGAAGGGGACGACAGAGGATGAGGTGGTTGGATGGCATCACCGACTCAGTGGACATGCGTCTGAGCAAGCTCCGGAGCTGGTGAAGGGCAGGGAGGCCTGGCGTGCTGCAGTCCTTGGGGTCACACCGAGTTGAGGACTGAGGGACCGCACACCCACCCACTCTGAATAACGCAGATAAGCAGCCCAGACACCTTTACTGAGCTTTCTTCCCAAGAATGACGCCTCGCCGGGCCTGGGAGGACGACGGCATCCTGCCTGTGGATTCAGGTCGTAGCTGCAGTGTCGGCGTGAGCGCGTCGGGTGCTGTCCCGCTGGTCCACCTTCTCACCTGGACTCTGCGGCTGGCCGCGCTCACGCATCTTCCTGTTTCCACGGCGCCACTCCCCTTGTCCTAAGACTTGTCTCACGCACACGTCCGACCAGTTTAAATAGAAAGTGCCATACGTTTCATGTCAGTTTTGCTGACGCATGTGTAAGGAATTCGCGCTCTCCAATAACAGGCCTACTGTGTGTCCATGTAGGTGTCATAGCGACCTGCTGAGAAGGGCGAAGGGTTTCCTCTGGTGATGTGAAGAAGGATGTAAAGGTTTGAAGAGCCTCCTATTGCAGAAATCCAGTTTTTCTATTCTTAAGAGGAATGGCGTGGTCAACTACTGAGGAATCATACATTTTCTCTTGGATTTTATTTACCCAGTCTTTTAGAAAATGTTTTTTATTTTTTAAATTGTTTTATTTCTTGGCCCTGCCACGCAGCATGTGGGTTCTAACTCCTTAACCAGGGACAGAGCCATTCCCCCTGCGTTGGGATCGTGGAGCCTTAAACACTGGACCGCCAGGGAAGTCCGTATTCACCCAGTCTGAAACATCTGAGTGAAAAGACTAGAATTCTGCAGGGGTTCATTGCGAGGAACACTGGGAGACAGCCTCTCTCACTGGGTCTCAGTCCGATGCCTGCGTCCATGAGTGGTCACCTCCCAGCTGGAGGCTCATTGGCTTTCAAATGGGATCTTGGAGAACATTCTGGTGAAGAGTTTACTCTCCAGAGCTCACTGTTCAAAATAAATTTAAAATGTTTTGAGAAGTTTTTAAAAAGTGAATTTTTCTCACTTCTAATTACTGCTTTAAAACACTGAAGTGAATTTCTCAAGCGGTTTTGTTTGTGGGGTGGTATGGCTAGTGTGCAAATGTCCTCACCAAAACAAAAACGAAGAAAGAAGTGAGGCGATGGATGCTAATTAACCAAATGGAGGAATCCTCACAAAACGTAAGGGGATATCGGGATTGACATACACACTCCTACGTATAAAATAGGTAACTAATAACCTGCTGGACCACACAGGGACCTCTACTCAACACTCTGATGATCTGCACGGGAAAAGAATCTAAATAAGAGGGGGAATACGTGTATGTGTAACTGAATCACTTTCCCGTATAGCAGAAGCCAGCACAGCATTGTAAATCAACTATCCTCCAGTAAAAATTAAAAAAAAAACAAGATACAGATGTATCAAATCATCACAATATACACTTTGAGTATCTTAGAGAGTTTCGTATGTCAGTAAACACATTGATAAACCTGAAATAAATAATTGTATAAGGAAGCAGAGGAGTCTGTGTTGGTTGAACGGATGGGTAACAGGTCCCTTTGTGCATTCGCGGCGAACTTTTGTCTTGAGGCGCGACGAAGGGGGTGAGGGGAGGGGGTCCAGCAAACTCTGAGCCAAGTCATATTTTGGAGTGTCCTGTGGATTTTATATCTGGATAAACTGTAAGAATGTCCTATTAATGAAACAATCAGGAGACTTCGTGGACTGTTTTTGCATGGTAGCACTTGACAGAAAATCTGACCTAGAAATTGATTGTATCCGTGGGTCTGGGTTAGAGCTGGTTCGGGTTGCCGACTCTGCAGGAGCGCGCACTCCCTGTGACTATAGACTGGGCAGTGATGATAGTAAATGGGAGAACTCTGGAAGAATTTGTAAGGCAGAGGAGAAACTCGTTGGCACCCTTTGAAACGAAAGAGTGAGGATGAATGTAGTTTTAAAATTTTTTATTGGAGCACAGTTGATTCACAGTGTTGTAGTTCAAGTGTAGAGCGACATGAATCGGTATACGCATCCATATATCCACTCTTATCTAGATTCTTCTCCCATATAGGTTATTGCAGAGTGCTGAGTGGGGTTTCCTGTGCTGTGCAGTTGGTTCTTACTAAAATGAATTTATTTTGTGAAATGAGAACGAACTACCTACTTTTCCAGATTCCTGTTCTTTTCTGAGTTTTTTTTGTTTGGGTTTGGTTTGGTTTTTTGAGCCATTTTCTTCTTTGGTTAGGAACAATTTACCCAGATGGCTACCTGGTGAGAAGAAATTAGACATCAGTCACATCATTTTTAGAACCATTTAGACTAATGTTCTTTAGTTTCTAAATCAGATGTGCCGCACCGAACACTTTCCCAGACAGGAGCTTGGATCCACAAAGTAGGATTTCAGCAGTTTGGTTTTCCACGGTTTTGAGCCCTAATGCACTTCACTTCAGGAGGTGGAAAAAAACCCGCTATATCAATAATTAGCTTAGGTTCAAAAGCACTTCGCTGCTCAGAGGTAACATTTTACAAAGGCTTCTGAGATAAGGGGTATCTATTTAGCTTTAACTTTATCAAAGTAAAACACTAGGTAAAAACATGTGGAAAGGGCCCTTGAAACAGCAGCGGTGTCAGAAATCTGTTCCTTCATGTTTGAGTGTTGGGCGAATCCAGCTGTTACGTTACTCCATACTGAGATTGGTGAGTGAATGTTTACATGATTGCTCCCGCTTTTCCTGACTCTGTTAGTCTGATCAGTTTTAGAGCAGAGAAGTAAAAAAAAAAAATATATATATATATATATTTTATTAAAAGAGAGCTTTGAGATTGAGTCCTTTAACTAACTGCTGATTGTTTCTCTGAATAGACCGTTTTCTTTTTTCCCTTGTAATGCTGCTTTACTTTTAAAAAATGACTTCTTTATTTAGGTCATTTTATTTGTTTATTCTCTTTATTTAGGTCATTTTATTTGTTTATTTTCGGCCATGCTGGGTCTCCGTTGCTTCTCTTGTTGTGGGCAGGGGCTCTAGGGTGCGTGGGCTCAGCAGTTTGCATATTCTTTACCACGGAGCCACCAGGGGATCCCCTGGTTCACTTTTATGTTGAATAAACGGCTCTTTCTACTCTACGGTCCCTTTGCAGTTTTCAAAAGTTTCACACACACGATTTCATGCAATTTCAGAATAACCCTTTGTTCTCACCTCTATATTACCCCCTCCCCTAAACTGAACCACTGGTGTGTTCTCTCGGTCTGTGATTCTGCTTTTGTTTTATTTACTGGTTTGTTGTAGTTTTTAGACTCACATATGTCACGTCTTTCTCTGTCTGACCTGTTTCACTTCGCATAATGCGCTCCAAGTCCATCCATTTGCTGCCGGTGGCAACATTTTCGTTCTTTTTTATGACTGGATAGTATTCCATTGTGTATATATGTACCACGTCTTCTTTATCTGTCATCTGTTGATGAACACTTAGGTTGTTTCTGTGTCGTAGCTGTTGTAAATAATGCTGCTGTGAACACTGAGGTGTATGTATTATTTCAAATTAGTGGGTTCTTTTTTTTTTTCCCAGATATATACCCAGAGTGAAATTTCTGGGTCATATGGTAGTTCTATTTTTAGTTTTTGAGAAATATACTATTTTCAATTAAAAAAACAGACCTTAATTGTCTCCATTCTCGTGGATTTAAGACTGATGGAAAGCAGAGCTGATATTAAGAAGACCACAGGAGCTGGTACACTTCTGTTACTCAGCATCTCACCTGCCCCTAGACAGAGCCAGGCACGGGATTTAGCAGATTTTTTTTTTTCCTGAATGTTTTGAGAGTCGATCAGTTTAAAAATACATGTACCCAGACTATCCTGACTTTGACTTTGTGATTAAAACAGTCTATGCTGTGTTATAAAGGACCCCATGGAGGGGACGCTGTTTCAGGTTGAAAGAATATGCCTGTATGTTGTCTCAGATACAGGGAAGAAACAGACTCATCTTTGCTGTGACTGTCTTCCCGAGGAAATACTCTTAAAGGGATAGGCTCTAACTCATCAAAAACCAAGACAGTAAATGGGAAAAGAATTTCAGAAAGACTAGATAAATGTGTGTATGTAAGTGAATCACTTTGCTGTATGCCAAAACTAACATAACACTGTTAATCAACTATGCTCTAATATAAAATGAAAACTTTTTTTAAATCAAGGTAAAGAAATAGTAGAAATAAATCTGACAAAATTGATCTTCCTGATTCTGGGTGCTTTTTATACCAGAAAACCCATTGGCTACAAAAGGGGATCCCTAGATGGGACCATTTATAGGGACTGCTTCCAGCAAGCAGTTTGGGGGCAAGCGAGGGAGAAGATGAGGCATTTTTTAATGTTATAGTTTTTATCATACTATATAGTAATCAGATATGTTTTTAAATGATAGTCTGTTTATTAATAAACTCTCTGTGATTAGTCATAATAGCAACTTTGTTTCAGTATCAAAAGACAAAATTTGAATGATTTGAGGATACATGAGCTACCACATGAAGTGAGGTTCTTTTAATCAAAATGTTAAAAGGTCAAATAATAACATTTCATATAAAATTTGAAAAGAAAACACACCCCTCCCCCCACCACCATTGAAATCTGTTTTTAGTTAATAGGAAATGGGAGTGAAATATTTTATTGAGTCTAAATATAAGCTTTCATATATTAAAAGAAAAGCTATTTACAGGTGATTTGTTACTAAATACAATCTTGGAGGGGGCACTTTTAATTACCAGAAAGGTAAGGTAACAATAAACAGAGGAAACATAAATGAATATAGTGTTCACAGAGCCATGCTGCTATAAATAACCCTCCTGCTCTGTCACTATTATTAGCATGGATGAACAAAAGAAGATTCCAGAAATAGAAAGGGAAGAGCTTCTCCAGGAGCCTTGTATTCCACGGAGTAGGAAATATTTCTAGCAAGCTCATGAATTTAGGGGGTTAATTGATTTTTTTAAAAGGACATTTCCATGCTGTCTGTTTGCCAAGGAAATTCTTTTTACTGGCATGTTTGTAAAATTGGCAGGCCGACGTTTCCTCCGGGTGACACAAGGTGTGATGAAGAATCTTATCTTGACTTCCTTACTAAAATCAGCACCGAGGGCTTGCCTTGTTAACTTATTTGGTTATTCCCACACTATTTCTCTAGGGGATCAGGTGATGCGACCGAAGCTGGGAGGGGGTGGTGGGCAGCCCGGGCCGGGAGTCAGGTCTGAGCATCACCTGGGCCACCGGCTCTGAGCTCCGGGGCGGAGCATCTGTGGATGCATCGCTGTGCCAGTTTGCCGGTTGATGAACGTGACACGTGTGTGTCGAGCTCCCCGTCCTCCAGGTGCAACATGAAGCAGTGGGGTCCCGGGGTAAATGAGGAAACCTGCTTCCTGCCCACAGACCACGTGTGGCTGGGGGGACAGACCTGGAGCTGATGAAGAGTACATCATAGAGAGGGTCTCTATGCAGGAATACAGAGCAGGGACTTCCCTGGTAGTCCAGCAGCCAGCTCTGCACTTCCAACGCAGGGGAGCACAGGTTCGATCCCTGACTGGGGAACTAAGATCCCATATGCTGTGAGGCCAAGATGGTAATAACAAGCAAAGTAAAAATAAGCTTGAATGTTTGTTTAAAAAAAAAAAGCAGGGCAGAGCTGTACTCTTAAGGGCACTGAAGAAAGCTTTATAAAAATGGGGCCATCTGAACCAACTCCATCTTGGAGGCTGCCTCATCTATAAGAACAGATGGAGTCGGCTGTACTTGCTTATCTGCCAAGGGTCTGGTGAGAAATCAATAGCATCATAAAAGTGGGTTGCAAAGAATAAAAGAAAATATAAGCATAGGCTACTCTTGTCCCATATGACACATACAACAAATTTCTAATTTGTCTCACTTTTAATAACAAAAGATTCACATGCTTAGATAGTACTTGTCCTTGTGAGCATGCTCAGTGGTGTCTGACTCTTTGTGACCCCATGGACTGTAGACCCCCAGACTCCTCTGTCCACGGGATTCTCCAGGCAGGAATACTGGAGTGGGTTCCATTTCCTCCTCCAGGGGATCTTCCCGACCTAGGGATTGAACCCACGTCGCTTACATCTCCTGCGTTTGCAGACCCATTCTTTACTACCATGCCATCTGGGAAAGGCACAAATAGTTCGTTGCTTGCTAATTTTCTTTTTCTTTTTTGATAACTAATGATGAGTATAGTTATATGAGAACTGACTATAAAACTGTAATTAAGTGACAGAACACGAATCTCAAGTACTTTTTGGTTTTGGTTTTTGATCCTTGTGGTCCAGAATCAAAAGAAGAAATGATAACTCCTCCAAAATACAGATATGTTTTCCCATAGGTAGCAATGATAGTAATTACTTCTGAAGTAGTTATATTTGTGGTGATTTTCAGGATGTGGAGTTATGACAATGTGGCAATTAGCGTTACTATTAGATCACTTTTAAAGAAAAAGCTGATTCCTTATGCACAAACTATGTGTTTTCTGGTGAAATAGATCATCTTTCTTAGGCAAGTTAAATATCAAATTTATTTCTGTCTAGTAAAAATTTATTTTCTTATCCTCAGTTGGATAGCTGGCACTGTGATTTACTGAGTTATTCCACAAGTATTTTTTGAGTGCCTATTTTGTGCATTGTCAAACTGGGTGAGCAACAACTTATGGAATATGTTCCAATATGTTTTTTAATTTATTTTTCAAAATATTTATTTTATATGTTTGTTTCTTTAGCCGCATCGGGTCTTACTTACTGCGTGTGGAATCTAGCTCCCTGACCAGGAACCAATGCCCCCTGCATTGGGAGTGCAGAGTCTTAGCCCCTGGACCACCAGGGAAGTCCCAAGCAATATGTCTTCTTAGAATGAAACATTTTTAAAATTAATTTTTAGTGGAGTACAGTTGCTTTACAACGTTGTGTTACTTTCTGCTGTATAGGAAAATGAATCAGTTATACATATATCCCCTCTTTTTTAGATGGAATGAAACACGTAAACAAACATGCAAGTCAATCATGAATTGCATTTCCCACTCAGCACCTCCATTCATATAAGTGAATCAGTGTTTGACCACAAAAAAAGAGGGAAGCCTCTTTTTATTGCTTTGGCAATGTTCAGATTAATTGGGGGTGTGCGAAGGATTTGAGCAGACAAATTACCATTTAAAATTACCATGATGAATAACTTTGACTTCCAGTATCGAATTTATTAAAAGTAGAAGAGAGGCAGAGAAGAGGGGAAATCAGGAGGTCTGTCCTGTGCCCTTACTGCTTGACTGACGGGTTGGCATAAAGCTCCACCCCGACAGCCCAGGGTCAAGTTCAAAGGCACAGCCCCACGACTGTGTCCAGAGTGCAGCCCTGCCTGAGGTCCATTCACAGTGGCTTCTCTCCCGGAAGCTCTCTGCCTCCCTCCTTTTAGCAGCTCGCACTGAGCTGAGAATTCTCTATTCAGGAGCCTTCATGAGCCCCCTGTTTCCAGGTTTCCAGTAAATGTAAGCATGGTAGTTTGAATTTAGAAAGAGAAAAAAAAATCAAAGTATATGAAAGCTCTTCTGCTTTCATTTGATTTCTTTTTGTTAAGAAACAATAGTGTTTATTTATCATGTTTGGCTTAGAATTTCTTTGGTATTCGGTCCTCTCAATTTTTACAAGAAGCAAAACTCAGTCCCATCTTTAGCAAACAAAACAGTTTTCAGTTGAGGGTGGGTGAGGAAGTTATATGAAGATTGAGTGGGAACGTCAACCCAAGGACATAATAGACAAGAAACCATTTTTTTCCTCCTTTTCTTCAGAAGTAGTCTTCCGCATGGTTTAATGTGCTAACATAACCCCAGTTCCAATATTTCAAAAGATACAGAACTTCCCAGCATGATGATAAAGTTTTCCTGTGTTCCAATAATAAAACCTCAGCGTACCAGTGACTTCCAGTTCCTTTGTGGCAACTTGTGAAGACCGAGCAGGCCCGCGTCCCCGGCCTGCAGTATCAGTGTGGGTGTCGGAAACAGATGTTCGCGGGACAATGCCATTTCTTGTCACTGTCGATACTCTGTGGCAACTTTCCCAAACGAAATTGTTGTGGATGGAAAAGAATGTAAGCAGTGATTCATGCCCAGGAATTTTTTTTTTTTTTTTTGGCTGCAGGCTGATCATATTTTTGTTTGTTTTAAATCACAGACCATTAATGGATTAAAAAATTTCTAGGGTAACTTATTATTAGAGTATCTTTTCCGTTTTTGGGGTCCAGCATGTCCTTCTAAAAGGAGTGACTATTTTAGGTGATTTACTGGAAATATTCAGTGCCTTGCTTTTATCTGAGGATTCAGAGAAATGAATGCCTGCCTCGCTTCTTATTTTTGTTGATAATTTGGAAGCATAGAGAATTCAAAATAATCAAACATTAAGTAGAACATTTATTGCTAATAGGCAGCATTATATGATCTTGATTTGAACTTTTCGTGATTATTCCAAAGGAGCAGCCACGCTTACCGTAAGAAAGAGTGGTTTTATCTGTGCAAATTAAATATTAATTTATAAAAAAGCTTAAAATATGCTTACAATGAAATAGATACTACAAAGCTACTTAAAAATTAGGCCCACAGTGTTTCTATCTCTCTGTCTCTCACACACACACACACACAGACACACACACACTCACTCTCACATCTTTTTCAGGAAGGAAACCTAACAAGAATTCAAGGCATCATATCCATCATTCTACTGCTGTTTTTATCAAAACAAATTGTAATCCGCAAAGGAAAGTCTTTTCATGTTTATTCATAACAGCAGATGCCTAAGGCCATAATTATAAAATGTTCTATGTTTTTTTAAAAGACATAGGTATCGCTTATAATTAGGTTTCCGCATGACAGAAAAATTATTTCAGGAAACATGAAACAAAATCTGACTTTTAAGCAACGGCCAAAGGAAAGAAAGGCTGGGATCACAGCTAGAGGAGTCCTAGACTGGAAGCAGGCGTCTGCGGTCTTCTTCCACGAACTGTGATTTTTAAAATCGTGGCCTTGTGGCAGCATCGTCTCAGCCTACCTTGTCTCATCTGTGAGACAAGTGGGTCAGGCTGGGTGACCTTTGGGGCCTTTCCAATTCTCGAAGTTCCAGATTCTTGTTTGGTGATAAAACCAACAGTGGGGCTTCAGATTCTACTTTCTGTCAATCCTTGTTCACCTTCTTCGGATCACAGGCACCTGTGAGTATCTGATGAGGATTATCATGACTCTTTCCTGGAAATTGCATGAACAGGAGTTTGCGAGCGGCCCTGGGGCTTCACAGACCCCTTGGAACCCAGGGAAAGGGCCCCAGGTTAAGAATCCCGTGACTGGGTAGCTTCATGTTTTTGTGAAAACTTGATGAGGCATTTAAAAATAGCTCAAAACTTTAGCAGCAGAACTTTCAAAATTATTATCTAGGTTAACTGTTTTTGTGCTCTAACACTTCCACGTGGTAGATTGGACGCTGGTGTCAGCCTGCCTGAAGAATGGAAACTCACATTACTCGGTCAACTAAAGCCCAGAGTGTGTGTGCCCTGCTAGGGGAGAGGGTGTCACACGTCCAGGCCAAGGCCTCGCTTCAGAGCAGGAAATGAATGAGCTGAGGTCTGCTTGCATCTCCCAGTCAGCGAATCGAGACTTTTGTTGTCGTTTTTAATTTATGAAGAATTCAAAATTAAATGCTCCTAACAAAGGACTTCCCCGGGTGGTTCAGTGTTAAAGAATCCACCTGCAGTGCAGGACGCACAGGAGACATGAGTTCAATTCCTGGGTCATGAGGATCCCCTGGAGGAGGGCATGGCAACCCACTCCAGTATCCTTGCCCGGAGAATCCCACGGGTAGAGGAACCTGGCGGGCTACGGTCCATGGGGTCACAAAGAGTCAGACACGACTGAAGGGACTTACTAAGTAAGGATGTATGTAGCAAAGAGACGCGGAGCCTAGGGAGGACCACTGCTAGCTCTGTTCGTGTTCTGTGCCCTGCACAGAACGTGGGATGGACAGAGCGCCTGGGGAAAACCATAGCCCGTCATACAGAAGCACAAGAGTAATTAACCCTAAAGCAGATTGAAGAATGTTTTAACTGCTAATTTCCTCCCAGTGTAGGGCTCTCTCTTTTTAAGCCACCCATGGATGATTCCACATTTTTCTAAATTCTAATGTCATTTGGAGAAAGCTTTGGACTTTTTTTTTTTAATTTTTGGTTGCATCATGTGGCTTGTGGGATGTTAGTTCCCTGACTAGGGACTGAACCCAGGCCCTCAACAGTAAAAGCACAGAGTCCTAACCACTGGACTGGCAGGGAATTCCTGGACTTTGTGAGGTACTTTCATGTAGGTAATCTTATTCGGTCCTTTAGTGAGTTATCTTTTGGGGGGGGGAAATACATACATCACTAAATGTGTGCAGTTCCTTTTAATGAGTCACGTGAGTCTCAAAAAATCTACTCACCTGCTTCTTTCACCCAGCAAATTTATAAGCTTCAGTAAAACTTTGCTTTTATCGTCACAGCCACAGTGTTTAAGTTCTCAAGCACATTCCTCACGGGCGCCCTTTTACATTTTTCGAATTCTATTAACTTCTCTGCATTCAGGTCAAATTAGATAGATGGATGTTGCCTCCTCTTGGCACTCCCAGCCAGTCTAAGGCATTCTCCAGAACACAGAAATTCTAGTCCCGATGTTACAGGAAAGCCCCCCGCTCCCCTTGACAGCAGCAATCCCGATGAGGGCACCCCGCCCTCCCTTCCGTACCCTCTGGAGCAGATGTTATTGGCATGTGGGACACGCTGGGGTCCGAGATAGCCCGCCCCGTCCGTGGAGCAGAGTCCGCAGAGCTCCACATCCCGGCTTTGATCTCCGGCGGTATTTTTCTCTGTTATGTCACAGAGGTCACCTGGCTCATGTGTGACAAACTGCCTGCATAAGTCACAGTGCCAGTGGCAGAGATTTGTAACCGTGCGCCTGGTCCATTGCTCTTGAATTATTTCACAGGCCCGCTGCTTCACATTTACACTCTGTCGGAAGATGAACAGGGGAAGGGAGTAAAACCAAGGGCAGGGTCTCATCCTGAAGGACAAGGGGAAACAGGTGGAAGGTTAATGGCCCTGGAGCGATTCCACCAGCCGCTCAGCCTTGATATATGGGCCTCGGGCCTAAAACGGGCATTGGCTTTCAAAGATATATTATTTCATTTGAGGAGAGACATCCTGGAGTTCCTGCATTTGTCTGCTGATAGATGACCCCCCTGTCCACAATTGGTTATGGCGGCTGAGTTTTCCTTGGGCCCGCTCCCGTACATAAAAATTTTGCTGAGCTCTCCAACCTCTCTCGGGCCCGGGGAGCAAGGATGGGACGTGTGCAAGCCGCCTGCCAGGCTGCAGCTGGAATGCTGCTGCTATTTTAGGAGTTCCTTTTGAACCAGGAGGCAAGTGGGGGGTGAAAGACGCCTCTCTTCATTCATGCAGAACTTGATACGGGCAGCCTTGCCTGAGAAAAAGGAGCGTGGAAGGGATGGTGGTTTAGACCTGTGTGAGGGTCGTGTGAGACGAACCTGGAGCAGTTGGGGACCCTGCCCTGGCCAGCCAGTGGTCAGAACTCCTCGTGTCCCATGCAGGGAGTGCAGGTTCGATCCGTGGTTGGGGGCTCAGATCACACACGCCTTGTGGCCAGAAAACCGGAATGTGATGGCAGAAACAGTACTGTAACAAAGTCAAGAGATTTTAAAAAATGGTCCACATCAAAAAAATCTTGAAAAACATAAAACGGCGAACCCAGGGAGATGCTCCACCATTAGGATCTCATCAGAGGCCACCAAGAGCTTCGGGCTTTCCGTTTTGCACCCACCCCTAAACTTTGAATAAACGGCTTCCTTAATCTGCTTTACTATTTTGTTCAGAAAATTTGGGTTGATTTGGGGAAGGGAGAGAACACAGACCAGTGATGGCTTTGCCTGATGAGAACTGCCGGATAATGCAACCCAAAAATTTATCTCATGGCTCAAATGCTTTTTGTGAATTGAACTGGGCCCCAGAGTAACGGAACCGGTGCCTCTCCGCCTCTGAGAAGTTGTCCTACAGATTCTAAAGCTGCAAAAGTCACTCCTAGTATTCATAGATTTAACGGTCATGAGAACATTAGGCATTCTAGTAGGCCTTAATGTGCGCGTCTTCTGCATTAATTATTAACTCTAGTTGTGGGGCGTGTCCATACAAAATCTTCAACTTTATAACTCCTGATACTGTTATACGAGCCTTGTCAGAGAGAGAGTGGTTGTTTTCATGGCAAGCATTCAGGAAAAATGAGCTCTGTAAACTCACCATCTAAACAAAAGGTGAGTTTTCTTTCCAGTTCTTTTGTGTTCTAGTGCCCTTGTGTTTGGTGAATATATACAGTGTCAGAATTCCATTTGGGGACATTTTTATACTGAATACCTTTGTCAAAGGCAAACTAATTATCCTCATAGATACATTGGGATTTATAAGAAGTTAATTTTGGGCAACCCATCTGATAAGTACCAATAGGAATTTAATTTTTACGTGAGAGACCCAGCCATGCCACAAATTCACTTATACTTGACAAGGCACCGTTGTCCCAGTGCTTATTCAGACACCCTCAAGCCTGGCCTTCAGTGGAGAGATACAGTGTCTGACCATTGGCTCTGCTAGTAATATGCTTATGTTATTGTTGTGTAGTTTCTAAGTCATGTCTGACTCTTGGCAACCCTGTAGCCTGCCAGGCTCCTCTGTCCATGGGGTTTCCTAAGCAATAGTACTGGAGTGGGTTGCCATTTCCTTCTCCAGGAGATCTTCCGGACCCAGGGATCAAACCAGTATCTCCTGTATTGCCAGGCAGATTCTCTACCACTGAGCCACCTGGAAGATACTGTAGGCTTGGAGAGACGTTCTTTTCTTTTCCTCTGGAATATTGTAAAAGTTCAGGTTAGACCGGACTGGAGAGACCCACAGGAAGAAGATGCCCTGACTATTTTAAAGGAAAGCTTTAAAATCAGAACCTCTAGAGTTAGTTGGATGGGGAGTGGAATCTCCCTTGGATAGATGCGGTCCCTATAGGCTTCCCTGGTGACTCAGTGGTAAAGAATCCGTCTGCCAATTCAGGAGACACGGGTTCAATTTCTGGGTCGGGAAGATCCCCTGGAGGGGGAAATGGCAAACCATTCCAGTATCCTTGCCTGGGAAGTCCGATGGACGGAGGAGTCTGGCGGGCTATAGTCCACGGGGATCGCCAAGAGTCGGACACAACTTAGAACTAAACAACAAGAAACCAATCAAGGGGACCATGGATAAAATAATCCCAGCAGAAGGGCAGGTCCCAAACCACACCGGGGTGTTTTCCGTCACAGAATATGAAGTGGTTGCTGTAGACTTTTTGCTCGTGACCGGAACACCTCCTTTTCACCTTTTGCAGAGTTGGCAACTTCGTTTCAGCCCTCTTCCCCCTTCCTCCGTGCTATTTCCCCGCCAGCAGACCCCCATCCTGTGGGTTCTGTCCCTGCCTGAGGCAGAGACCAGATCAAAGACTCTCACATAATAGGAGCTCACTCTGAATTAGCGAGGAGCCCCCACCTCCTGCATCTGTCGGTCTCCCGCTCAGATGGACTCTTCCAGAAGGCCGGCGAGGAAGCCACATACTTGCAAACAGTCTCTTAATTGCTCATTTGCAGTTGGACAGAACGCTAACCGCAGAAAGACTTCAAAGCCAATGGAATCTGCATTGAAAACAGGATCTCAATACCCGTAGTCGCTTATTGTTGCAAAATTAGAATAACAAATGTTCCCAGCATGGAGCCAACATAAACTTGCCCGAGTATTATTCTGCCTGAGAATGATTCAACTTTTTTTTTGCTTCACCGCAGTAGAAGTGGCACGCTCTGCCCTCCGTTTGTTATTCTGTACCGTTCATTTTAATGACATATTTAAGTCTCCATCACACTTTGTATTTTTACGTATAATTACCCCTATTAAAAAAACACTCATTAGCGTTCCGTTCCACTGACTTAATTATGCCCTTAATTAAATCTTGACTAACTGGGGGTCACTGCGGTGTCAGTAGGATTTGTCACTGTTCGGCAGCAGGTGTCTGTTTGCTTCTATTTTTGGTTTTCCTCTGGTTTGAATGTATTTCAGAGCTTGCTTTTCCCTAAATACCGGAGTCCTCATTGGAGGAAGGAACAGCATATATTTGACAAGCAGCTGGAAAGCTTGTTTGTAGGAGGACATTTTTGTTATCATTATTCTAAGAATACCCCTGGTTTAGGGGAAAGATGCAGAGAACAGAGTTGGATACCACAGATGCAATTCTAAAAAAATCAATATGTTTACATTCTAGAAATCAAAATCATATTCACGTATGCAATTCTAAAAATTTCCTTAAAGAACAGAAAATGATGTAAGTGGTTATGAGATCATCACATTAGATGTTTTGCACCAGAGTCCTTTGGACTACTTAATTATTTCATTGACATTTGTTGTTATAAAAATATAAAGCAAATTGCAAAAATAGGAATCAAACTGAAACAAAAAAGTGTCTTTCATGTGTCTAATGTTCACATAAAAGTCAATTCATTGCTTGGAAGGACTTTTAATAATTAGACTGCTTATACCATCACATTTCATATTAGAATGTTTTAGGCTCATGATTTTAGTGCATTACTTAAGGGAGATATAATTCCCGTGTTTATGTCTATAATAGGCACCTAATGTTGATCTGAGTAATTGATTAGTCCAGTCAGATTTGTATAATTAGTTGTTGTCAGCTTTTCAACATAAGCCCCCAAAACACTTGCTGTGAATCTACAAAGCTTTTACATTTATTAATCAGTTTTTTCATCTAAAAATGTATGCAAGCTATCTGAAAAGAATCTATATATGTTTTTTTCTGGAATTAGGATGGCTCTTCTAACTAAGCCCTAAGAAACTAAACTCAGACTATATGTCTCTTAAGTTTTTCAGTCTCGAAATTCTGATTTTTTGAGTAGCATTTATTTTCATTTAAAGGTTAAAAAGTCAGTTTTTCTACCAGTTAAGATGTTTTTCAGAACTTAAATTTCTAACGGTAACTTTAAACAAGACAATGGGTTACAGATATCAGACTATCAACAACACAAAACATATATTGTGATCTTATTGTCATTATATTTTGATGTTGCATAAACAATTTAGATTTACCTGCAAATAGGGTAGGACAGTAAGAAGGACTTTTTAAAGAGATATATACTATATTTCAACTCACTCTGTTTCTCAAATCAATTAGTTTCATCCTAAAGTATTAATTCCAGCTGCCTTTTCTAGGGGCTTCTAGAGTAATGAATATTTTCTTTGTTATCTAAATTGTCGATGCCAGTGTCATTTGAGATTTAAGTTTTCTTATCAACTTTAAACATAATTTAAAATCTAAATATGTACTTATACCGAGTTTATAAACCATTTCAGTGATGAGATGAGATGAATTTTCATGAATTCTGTGGGTTCCTGTACAGTCCTTTAATAGACCCTGGAGAATGAAAGCCTGGATCCTGTGTGTGACCAACAGTAGCTACCAAAGCGACATGAAATCCGATTTCCTTACACTTACACAATGGAAGTCATAAGCGTACAGTTAAATTGCCATAGGGTTGATCAGACAATTTTACAGTCCCTTCTTTCGTTCAGTACATACTTCTCAAAGGTCAGTTGTGTTTAGTTACATCTTAGGACTTAGAGGTTCACCATCCCTCCTTTTGAGAAATTTGTTTTACATATATTTTAGTGGTATTGAATCCTTTTTGAGTAATTACACTGACTTAATAAAAGCATTTGTAATTTCGCAAGCCAGCCTAATCAAGGATTAAAAGGTCCAAATCGTGGAGTGTTTCTGCTCCCCCTCTGCTTAAGTTTTCAAGAGACCCTGCAGCTTCCCCATCGTGCATAGTATGATTTCAAGTACATTCCCTGGCTGTATTCAGAGATAATTTTAATAGTTAGTGTCCCTTTCGACACTCAGAGTCAAGGTGAAAAGGAGCAATAATGATTAAGGAGAATAATAATTATTTTCACAAATTAATAGTAACTGTATTAGATGAATCAGAGAAGGGTGAATATCATGCAGGTAAACAATGCTTTTAAAGCTGGATAGAATCTCTAGAAATATTTTTTCCTGTGACAGCTGAATGATACCCATTTGTGGAGTTTGACTGGTAACTCTCCAGAGCTGCATAAGTTATGTGGTTTCATTAAAAATGCATCAGTCCTTTTGGGATACTTTCTCTAATTCATTGATTTGATAATATAAGCCTAATAAACATTTTTGGCATCACAAAATGCAATATCAAAGTGTACTATACCTACTAGTACACAATGTTAACAGGAAAGCAAGTACCCTCGCCAAGAGAATCAGCCACAGAATCTTGCGGGGTTGAGCAGTGCTAAAATCTGATACTAAACTGAGTGGGACCCTTCGGCTTCCAAGGTGGCTCGGGTAAAGAATCCGCCTGCCAGAGCAGGAGACGCGGGTTCGATCCCCGGCTGGGGAAGATCCCCAGGAGGAGGAAATGGCAACCCACTCCAGTGCTCTGGCCTGGACAGTCCCACAGACAGCCTGGCGGGCCACGCCCATGGGGTCGCAGAGCTGGACACGACCCAGTGACTCAGCCACCTCCGCAGGACCCTTCAGGGCCTTCCCGGGAGCAAAAGCCTGTCTGTGTCCCCTGATTCACGTTTGCGGAGAAAGGGTTCAGTGTCCCAGGCCTTCCCTGACTTCCAAAGAGCAGACTCAAGCAGTTACTCATTAGGGGAGTTAGGGGACACGGCGACAAAAAGCAGTCAGGAAGTAAGGTAAAACACAGTGTTAGGATTGCC